AGAACTTATTTATCAATATACCCATGGACTATTGACATTTTAGGTCATTTTTAAAGATGTACCAAATTTTTAAAGAGTACAGATACTAATATTGTCGATATAATTCGTTTATTTCATTAAAAAATAAAAAAAAAACTGTTTAAATATTTGTTAAAGAGGACCAATTAATATGATGCCGTATTCAAACTACATTAACTGACTGTTTGCGTTGATTAATAATAATTGCTCCAAATACTAAAAAACTGAATTTTGTATGGGCATTAGACAGTGTGATAAAAAGTAACACCTTAAAAATGATATTTCATTTTTTAATAAATGCTTATTTATAACAACAAAGACTTTAATTTGATAACTTATTATTATATTGATTTCTGACTAAAAATCCACATTTATTTATAATAATTTATTAACGAACACAATTAAGTATGTAATTAATTAGTATATGGGCGGAAATAATGGTGTTATATTTAATTAATGGTATACTCTTTTATAAAGATTTAAATAGTTTTCTTTTTGCATACAAATGGGCTAGTAATATTATCGCTTTACTAAAAACGATAATATTACTAGTCTGTACATTTTGTACATTTGTTGCTTTAAAAACATCTAAAATGTCAGTATTCCATGGGTATATTGATAAATGATGTCTAAATTATAAGAAAATGCATTTTCTACGAAAACTTGAAGGGATAGGTAAAAAATATAGGTATAATACAACTTGATAGACAATTTGATTGTGCATCTGATTCTCGTAAAATATACAGGGCATTCCATTTAAATTAAAGAAGTTATTGCCGTTTGAAGCTAATAATTATTTAAGATAAATTTTTAGGCACTCTGTATAAAGTAGTATTATTTTTATTATTGCAACACAATAACTGATTAATAAATAAACTTCATTAAATATTTAGTATTAAAAACATTGATACCCTTTTGGAGAAATGAAGCTTTAAAATTTTACTGCAATTTCACAAAATTGAAAATATATTTCAAAAAACGGTAAGGTTTAAGTATAATAAACCTTAATCAAATTTACCTCTTTATTTTAATCGTAGAAACTAAAAAGTAATAATATACAGGGTGTTCCATTTAAAAAAATACAACTTTGATATTTTTTATTTATTTGGGACACTCTGTATCTTGTAAAAATATTTTTAAATTGTAGCTCTAATAGTCCTTCAACGAACCCCAAACTTACAATTTGTAAAAATCTCATCGTTTAGCTACAATACTCCGTATCGTATGTGGTGAACCACCCTGTATAACGGCTTTTTAATTTTTAGGGCTTATAACAACCATATTTTTATGTTTATTTTTAATTTTCTTTAAAACAGTATGAAAATTGGGAACAGTATAAACGGGATTAATCATTTTAGAACAACCAAAAATGTTTATAAAAAAATCATTTTCCTCAAAATAAAAACAAGGAAGAAGCTACGTCCCACTAGTCAACTCACATCGTTTTTAAGCGTTTTTCGCTCGGTTTTGAGAACGGCTGAAAGTAACTCCTAGCTATTATACAGGGTGTCCCAGAAATAAGTGCAAGTATTTTAACTTGTAGTATAGTTCAACCCCAGAAACACGCCTATGAGGTTTTTTTCGTAAAAAAGAATTTTTGAAAATTCGGAATTTTTTGAAAAATTGTTTGGAAAATTTTTTTAGTTTTTATTTAAAAAAAATAATTTCTTGATAATATGGCAACATAGGTAGTGGTTCTCAAAATTTGAGCAAAAAATCTTTTTTTTGGAAATTTTCAAAGTAAAATAACTCCGTTATTTTGGACTTGATTTGAAAAACGATAAAGAGAAAATATGTTTCTTTTATCGAGATCTACCACCCCTTAAAATACTTGCACTTTTTTCTGGGACACCCTGTATAGCCAATTTTGCAAGAGCAGTTGTGGATCCATTGATAAGACCGTCGCTTATAGGACGAGAGGTCCCAGGATCGTGTCCCAATCCAAACTAAAACGTTTTTATTTTTTTACAGCTGTTTTTTTTTCTTAAAAATAGCTGTAAATGTGTAATAGCAATCAAAATATACCGTAGACGTGTTTTGATTGCGTTGGTTAGTCTCCAGGGTAAGTTTTATTTTGTTTAGATTTGCCACAAACGGCAACGTTGGGTATGCGAGTTGATTAGAGGGACTTAGAAGCTACTAAACAAGAATGTTATACCGGGTTCGTCTTAAAATATTTTTTCTGATAAAAAAACGATATTTTGTATTTTGACATAAATTAGAATTGATTGACGTATTCAATTGTTTTCGGTCACTTCCTGTTTCACCGGAAATACAACTTTTGATTTTTAAATGGCACCCTCGATATTTTTTTACTTTATTCGATAGAAAATGACTCTGAGTAGAATGACATATCATATGTCAACTTTTTACCCTTTTTGCATATGGTTTATTTGAAATTATAACATGCGGTTCATAACGACAATTTAACTAGAAATACCAAGTGTGTGGTACCAAATTATTCGTAAAAAAATATAAAAAAGTAAAAATATGCCGAGAGTGCTATTTATAAATTTTTTCAAAAGTTGTAGTCATTTCCGGTGAAACAGGAAGTGACCGAAAACAATTGAATGCGTCAATCAATCCTAATTTATGTCATATACTAACATTCCAAATCTGTTTTTTTACCTGAAAAAATAAAAAAAGTTATAGGGGTGCTTTTGAGACGCACCCGGTATAATATACAGGGTTGTTCACCACAATACTCCGTGTATTGTAGCTAAACAATTAGATTTTTGCAAATTGTAAGTTTTGGGTTCGTTGAAGGACTATTAGAGCTACAATTTAAAAATATTTTTACAGGATACAGAGTGCCCCAAATAAATAAAAAATATCAAAGTTGTATTTTTTTAAATGGAACACCCTGTATATTATTGCAGTTTTAGTTTCTACGATTAAAATAAAGGCAAATTTGATTAAGGTTTGAATTAAACCTTACCGTTTTTGAAATATTTTCAATTTTGTACCTTTATTTTAATCGTAGAAATTAAAAATGTAATAATATACAGGGTGTTCCATTTAAAAAAATAGAACTTTGATATTTTTTATTTATTTGGGACACTCTGTATATTGTAAAAATATTTTTAAATTGTAGTTCTAATAGTCCTTCAACGAACCCAAAACTTCCAATTTGTAAAAATCTAATCGAGACAATCCGAAGACATATTGTATATCTAATTAATTATTCCAAACTTATTTGTATAAACCCATCACTAGAATTGTTAAACTCTGCATACCAACATAACTGTTTTATTATTGCATAAGGCTAAATATAGTAATTAAAAATCTACATTAGTATTATTTAATTCAGTTACCATTTCACTTTCTTTGCTGTTCCGCTATTACCAAATTTCTTGATTTGCATTCAGAACCTTTGACAGATATACCCATTTACGAAACAATAAACATTAAAAGCGATACAGCTTACTTTTCTTTGTATTGTATTTATGCATTTCAACGTAATAATAGACAGCTCTAAATTGATGGAGTTTCAAAATCAGATTGCAAAACAACAAGCTTAAACTAGAATGCATAAATAGTTTTAAATAAATTAAACAAAGTTCGTGTAAAAAAATAATCGATTTTATTAATAGAACAATATACAAAGTAATATAAAAATGTAACAATGACTAGAAAAAATAACAAATATAAAAAATAAGGTCGATTTTTTCGATTAAGTAGTGATTATCTTGAGAAATTTTGTAGTTTTGCATGAATAACATCTTTTATAATGAAAAAACTCATCATATACAGGGTGGTCCGAATTGTATTCCGGAAACTTCGGCAGCATATTCTGCAGATAAAAATAAGTAAAAAAGTTCGTATAAATGTATGTCCTAAAATGCTTAGTTTCAGAGATACAGGGTGTAGAAGTTTCATTTTTATTTCAATTTTATCTAAATAATTTCTGAAGTAACGTCAATATTTGGATGAAAATTGGGGTCTGGGAGTTTTTTGACATGAGAAATTTGATTTTGATGTCAGGGTGGTGTATATACCGTATGATCGAAAAAAAAACGGCGTCCAGTTGGCTGGGAAATGACGATCGATGACATTTCCCATATAAATTTACATACAAAATGACAGCGATCTTCATTTCATAGCCATCGTTGACGCCGTTTTTTCTCGATCATACGGTAGTTTCAATTATATGAGTAATCCCTATGCCGATTAAAATAAGGTTTTCACTTTTATTTTCATTCTTTCTCCTCTACAAGATGACGTATTTAGATTTTTAATCTGGTTTTAAGAAACCCTATAATACCGGGTATTTCTCAAAAGTGGCCTACCCCCTGTAACTTTTTTATTTTTTCGTATAAAAAAAGACACTTGATGCGTTAGAATATGACATAAAATAGACTTTATTGACGTATTCAATTGTTTTTGGCTACTTCCTGTTTCACCGGAAATGACTACAAGTTTTGATTTTTAAGTAAAACCCTCGGTATTTTTTCACTTCATTTGATAGAAAATGACATTCTGAATAGAATGACATATCATATGTCAACTTTTGACATTTACAATTAAAAAAAGAGCATTTTAAATTTCAATTTAGAGAGCCATGGCCATAAATGTAACGACAATTTGACTTGAAACACCAAGTGTGTGGTACAAAATAATTCGTAAAAAATGCTTTTCCAATAATGCTAATTTTAACCTAACCTAACCTAACCTTCCATTCGAAAAAAATTAGTTATGATTAAAAATACGATTTAGACATCTTTTAACCGGCCAGAACAAGATTCGAAAAACATTAGACGTTCAAATATATTTTTCCAAGGCTCCTTGATTAAAAATTTGTGTTTTTAACAGAGCCATGGCACACTAGATTGAAATTTATAGTACGATTTTCCTTAAAGCAAGAACGTTGAAAATTGACATATGATATGTCATTCTATTCAGAGTGTCATTTTCTATCAAATAAAGTAAAACAATACCGATGGTGCCATTTTAAAATCAAAAGTTGTAGTCATTTCCGGTGAAACAGGAAGTGACCGAAAACAATTAAATACGTCAATCAATCCTGATTTATGTCATAAACTAACGTACCTAATCTCGTTTAGTTATCTGAAAAATTAAAAAAGTTATAAGGGTGAACCACTTTTGAGAAACACCCGGTATATTATATATTCTCAAACTAAAATTGCTCAAGATATTCTACTCCAAAAACCATCGACATATTAATCTCTAAAAATATAAATACATTAAATATTAGTCTTTTCTGATAGTAGTTCACCTAAGTTCAATATTCTTTAGGTACTCTTATTTAACATATGGTGGTTCCAAAGCCGGCGATGGCCTAAATACCTGATCATTGAACCCTCTGGATTCTTCAGTTTGTTGATAAGCAGAACCATCAAAACCTTGATGGTGTTGAGGCAAATGATACGGTATCTGAAGATCAGTTTGACCAGGTTGAATCACATTATTCTGATCAAAATTTTGCAGGTTTATATTGTTGTTCAAGTACTGCTCTTGCTCACCTTCTAAAGGCAGTTGCTGTTGAGGAATATCAGTGTACTGTTGCTGGAATTGTTGAAGACGATGTGCTTGATTTTGTTGAAGATAATGAGCATTTTCCTCGTAAGGTAGTTGCTGTTGAAGCTGCTGCACTTGATTTTGTTGAAGGAACTGATGGTTACCTTCTAAAGGTAGTGGTTGTTGCAGGAAATGAGCTTGATGATCATGAGGTAACTCTTGTTGTTGTTGAGCTGCAAATCCATGATGGGCATGAGGGAATGGCAAACTTGGACCTGCTGGTAGAGCATGAAGATGAGGAACTGCTCCAAATGAAGGCAGATAATTTCTTGTTCCATGATACTCCACAGATACCCCTGGTTGAGGAGCAATATGCGGTAATCCTATATGAGCTGGTACAACACTTTGAGCAGGAACTACAGGTGCAGCAATTGGTACAGCAGCTGGTCTAACAGGTACAGGAACTGGTACAGCTGGTGGAGCTACTGGTACAGGTGCAAAAGGCCTCAAATGAAGATGATGAGGTAGTTCCCTCAAAATAGGCGTGTGGAATCTAGCACCAAGAGGCAGGACTCCTAGGTTGGGTTTGGTAACTTCAAACAAGACTGGAGATGGGACCAGTGGTCGTACTGGTGCTGCTACGGGTGCTACTGGTACTAAAGGTGCTGTGGGGACTTGATGGAGGTGGTCTATGTGGGCAAATGTGTCGTAGTGGTTACCTAAAATTAAATATAAGTTCATTTGTATAACATTTTTAGTATTTTTTAAATAGTCTTTTATTTCAACATACCATGTGGCACTTGAATTTGATGAATCTGATCAATATGAGCACCTTGCACAGCAACTGGATGGAAATGAACAGGATTTGGCTGTAGATGCACGTGCCCAGGTTGTAAATGAATATGCCCAGGTGTCCCTCCTGATTGAATATGATCCACGTGAGGTACCGGATTATTATGGATAACATCCACATGACCAGGAGGCTTAAATACTGGAACAGCAATCGGCTTGGTTGGTTTGATTATTGGCCTCCATCCACCACTTGCTGAAGGCTTCAAAGCGGGCAAAGTGAGCGGATTTTTTGGTTTGGAGTACTTGTAGCCTACAGGTCTGACTAGTACAGGCCTGGCATAGGAATATGCTGGTCTGAACTTGTACTTGATAAGTTTGGAGAATTTTGCTCCGCATCTTAGACCACTTAGTGCTGAGCAAATGGTTCTTTTGTCTTGGTCGTTGTCTGTGGTGTCTTGGTCTGGGTCATTGAGAGGGTCGAGGTCTTCTTGGTTGGAGGTTTCGTAGTCTGATAGGTCGGCTGAAGTGATTGTGAAGGATAGGGACAGGAGTACTGCAAAAAACTTGAGAAAAGAGTCTTTATCAGTGAAGATTTCTCTTAAAAACCATAGTGTTAAAGATAATAAAATTCCAAAAGTGTTTTGGTATTGCATTGGTGGTAAATTAGAGTTACTACAAAAAAATTGCTACAATAGTATTTATCTCAAAGAAAGTTAAGATTACTAGTTTTCAAAAATGTTGCATATTTTTGAACATTTGTATCTGGGTAGTATCAGTAACTCCTAGAAGATCTTATATCTTTTAGGAGTTATTGATAGTCAGCTAGTGATTTTTATACACAGGGTGTCCCAGAAATAAGTGCAAGTATTTTAAGAGGTGGTAGATCTCGATAAAAGAAACATATTTTCTCTTTATCGTTTTTCATATAAGTCCAAAATAACGGAGTTATTTTACTTTGAAAATTTAAAAAAAATATTTTTTGCTAAAATTTTGAGAACCACTGGATCTTTCTTGTAAATTTAATCTACTACCTATGTTGCCATATTATCAAGAAATTTTTCTTTTTTTAAATAAAACTAAAAAAAATCCAGAAAAAATTTCAACAATTTTTTTTTGCAAAAAAACCTCATAGGCGTGGGGTTGAACTATACTACCAGTTAAAATACTTGCACTTATTTCTGGGACACCCTGTATATAATATCACCAAATATTAGGAGTTTTCACTGTTTGTCACTCTAACACAGAGAGGTTCAAATTAAGTTAATATTTAAGTTATTTAACAAAACGAAATAAATATTATTAAAATGTATATCCGACTAAAAGACTAAAAAATTATACCGTGCTTTTATTTAAACTGTGAAAATAGGGCTTATAAGGGAATATTATTCTACGATGTTCGTTTTTAAAATGGAGAGAGTCAATGCATTCAACTGTCAACCAACAATATTCCGTTACAAAAAAATAACATTTGTTTTTGTTTTAATAATTTTTAATTAATTTGAATTTTAATTATTAATTTACAATAAAATATTGAAACTTAATTGTAAGACTTTACTTATTTCAGAACAAAAAAAAGCGGTTTTTTTTAAATGAACTTTTCAAATGAATAAATTTTTGATTGCATACCTACCTTTTATTTTAAAAATGATATTACGCTATAAGTCCTATGTTCACAGTTAAAATAAAAGCACTGTATATAAATCCAATACTATATTTATTTGCTTAATATTTCTATTTTCATTATAACACTGTTTAAATATTTCACTCTACAAAATTTCAATAACAATATTTTATAAATGAAATTTAATATTCGAATTTATGGCGAATGAGCCAGAACATGAATTTTTATGCATTTTTTGAATTATTTTTTGGCATTTTTTAAAAATATATCAGTACTTATTTAATTATTAAGATGAATGAAAAAACAAACTGTGGAGAAGAAATACGCCTTGATGATATAGTGGATTTTAAATGCCTTACTTTGTTAAACCATTCTACAGGATGTTTCAAACTTTCTCAAAAATAACATTTTGTTTTCAGATACGGACTTTGGTTTTAATTTTGAAACAGTCTAAAATTTTAGTCTCAAAGTCGGCTCACTAAAGCCAAAAAATTAGGCATTCGATTTTCGTGCCGGTCAGCGTATACTGGGTGCTTTCCAAAAGTGGCTCATCCCTATAACTTTTTTATTTTTTCACATAAAAAAAAACGAAATTTTGTATGTTAGTATATAACATATATCGAGATTGATTGACGTATAGTTGTAGTGTCGGTCGGTGTAGGGAGAGCCATTATTATTGCTGAGGCTAACTTCTCCTTTGCTAATCCTGCCCTATAATTGAACTTACAACGTAAATCTTCATTTTCAACACTTAAAAACGGCACTGAACACTAACGCTAGTCCAAACTACACTGTCACCATCACCGAGTCACCAACGGAAGGAAACAGGAACAATAGGATCACTTTCTTTTTGTTTTTATATCGATCGGCTTGGAACCGGACGAGTTTTGTTTATTAATAAGCTCGTGAATATAATTAAAAATTATTGGGTATGCGATGACACGCCGCTGAGAAAGTGCTTACCAATTCTGGATGCATTTTTTTGCCTAATTGTTGCGTACGAGTGTAATATACTATTGATTGGACATAAGGAAATACAAAAAATATACAGGGTGGTCCGAACTATATTCCGGAAACTTCGGCAGCAAATTCTGCAGATAAAAATAAGTAAAAAAGTTCGTATTAATGTATGTCCCAGAATGCTTAGTTTCATGTATGGTATGTTACAGGGTGTGGAATTTTAATTTTTATTTCGATTTTTTCCAAATAATTCCTGAAATAACGTCAATATTTATATGAAAATTGGTGTCTTCCGTTCTAGATATCTTGAGAACGGTTGCTTTTTACCAAGAGACATTTTTACCGTAAAAGGTCATGTAAATGTATATTTTTACACAGTAGTTTTATACAGGTACGGACGAAAAGTTATTACTCTTCAAAACAGTTAAAACTGAGAAGAACAATCGTAGAGAAGCGACAAAAACCGTCGGCACTATTGAAGTGAGGGGGACCAAGTTTTGTGACCTTCAAATTGAGGTACGTGAGAAATCGGCGGTTTATTACACTGAAAGAAATTCAATGAAGACAAAAGAAATGAACAAAGATATACCTACACTGATAAAAAAATGTGTTTAGTAAAAAGTATATTAAAAATATTTAGGAATATTTTTGAATAGTAACTATCTTTTAACATTTTACGGGTTTCCGCGATTTGTCGATTTACCACGTTCAACACTATCTTTTAGGGATATTCCTTATTTTTATATATTTGATAATATCCCAAGCAGCATTTGGACATCGGGACAACGTTGTGTCACGCGACCAAACGTCGGGGTGCAACGTCGGCACAACCTCGTGCCAACCCTAGTCTGCACTAGTTTGGAGAATAATTTTTGGGTCGAAACGACGTTGGATACCAACGTTGGCTAGAAGCCTAATTTAGTACAAACTGCCACGTTGTTTAAAATCTAATTCACAGAAATACAAAACTAATATGGCGTCTAAGTCGCGTTTTTTATCCTAAATTGGGATAATTATAATAAAATATTATTTTTTATGATTTAGTTAGAGACATATGTCAGATGGCAGTGAAGGAAAACGAAACAAAAGTATTTAAACGTGGAGGATGTTTGAAGATCATAATTATTGAAACACTTTTAACCGACTCTCTGTAACTCGTTACCCAAGGCAAAAAGTTAAACGCAAACAACTTTATTGATAAATGTATTGTTTCTACTTTGAAAAATACTAATGGGCCTTAAAATTAAAGAAGTTTTAAAATTTTTCTTGAATTTTTTTTTGTAAAATGAGAATAATTTATTCGCAGTTGAAAAAATTGTTTCCGCGTGTTTTTAGGGTCAAATATTTCAAGTTAATGTATTCAAAAAGCAGGAATTGCTATTTTAGGAACGAAACATTTTTTTATTTAACATCATGGCGGCTTTTCACTTTGTTGTTTTGGAGATTAAGATGGAGTAGTTCGAGTAGTCGCATACTGGACTAATAAAGTCGCAGTTCTGGCCTTAACAGGTAGTATACTAGTCCCGAGGTTGCCTAATTTAGTCATCCTAGAGTCTAGCTTGTACCGCCCTCTATAATCTAAATAAACGAGGGAGTGGATAAACTATCGGTAAAATATGTCAGATGTATATTTAAATTTAGTTTTTATATGTACCTTTTCTTACGTCCCATTTTAATTAAGTTTTTTTTATAAAAACAAAAACAGCACTGAACTTTGTCTGACTGAACAGAACAATGAAGTGAAAATTTAAGATTTAAGGTTATGGTTCAATACAGTTGCAAAAGGTAGTGACTCGACGTCCTACCAACGTAAGAATAAGGAAATCTAAACAACGTTGGAATTAGTAAAACAGACGACGTTTGCATAACGTTGAATAGGTCCTGAAACTGACGTCGGAAAACTCTATATTGTCCAACGTTTGTAACTACGTTGTCCGAATCACCTAAAGATCACTTAAGCAAAAACGATTACAAGACAACGTTTATTCGACGTCGCAGAAGCTTCTAATTTGCTGTAGTACTAGTCCAACGTCGGCACAACGTTATAAAAACGTTTAAATTTATTTTAATACCTAAGGTGGGGAATTTAACTATTTTTTGTAACTAATCCAACGTTGTGTTTAGTAAACATGTGGTCGCAAGTCGTGAAAATGCTACTTGGGATTGTTTGCTTTCAAATTAATATTTTAAAAACTGGATGTTTTTTTTTTTAAATCAAATGATAAATAAAACAATTTTAAGAAATTTCTCAGCTGTTATCAGAAGCGTTAAAACAAACGACAAAGTAAATAATAGGATTAATTTTTTAATGATATCAAATTAGTTTTACATATAAGTGAGACTAAATAAGACGAAATGAAAAATAATGGATTTAATCTGAAGATTTTCTAATTTAATTTTTTAATAAGCGTTTCAAAATATGTTAACATTACACACATTTTCAGTAGGTTACCTAAGTAACCTAATCGGTTGATAAAGTTTGATAATAAAACGCATACTAAGGTTTCATAAACTGGTTTTATTAAAACAAATGTTTATTAGGGGGGTACTCAATATAACAATATGATAAATCTGAAATTAGTAGTAAAAGTTCTACATATACATATTGTTGCGAGCCGGTGTGGACTCGACCTAACCTCACAATATGGCCCGCCCTCGGATGACCTTAACATCGCATAGACACCGCAATGATTCATTCGTTCGAGAAGAATCGAGACCCACTAGAATGGACTAGTACATACGAGAACATTCGAAAACCTTCTTTATGCGCCTAACGATCTATGGACTATTCTAGATTTGAGACAGAACAGCGCCTAACGCAACATTGCTAGCGTCGGCAGCTCAATAATGTTACCAAGAAGGATAGCTATCCCCTGCCGAGGATAGACGATACTCTAGACACGCTGGCGGGGTCAACGATATTCTCTACGTTAGATCTGAAGAGTGGATATTGGCAAGTCGACATGGCGCCGAAAGACAGAGAGAAGACAGCGTTCTCGGTGGGCTCCGGACTGTGGCAAGTTACCGTCATGCCCTTTGATTTGTGCAACGCGCCAGCTACCTTTGAGACTAATGGAGTCTGTGTTAAAGGGACTATCCTGGACTACCTGTTTAGTGTACCTGGATGACATCATAGTGGTTGAAAAATCCTTTGACGATCATCTGAAGAATTTGGAAGAAGTTTTCAAGCTGACTAGGAGCTCTGGTTTGAAACTTAGCCCCAAAAAATGTCATCTGTGTCAAGAAAAGGTACACTACTTGGGCCATGTAGTCTCCTCCCAAGGAGTTGCGGTAGATCCACAGAAGACCAAGACAGTGGAAGAGTGGCCAATACCTAAAGATAAACATGAACTACGAGAAGCTTTTTGGGACTATGCACATACTATCGCCGCTATGTACAGGGTTTTCGCCACCATCGCAAAACCATTGACCAGACTTACTGAAGGCGAGAGGCGTTTCTCTTGGGACTCAGATTCTGACGAGGCATTCCGAAAATTGAAGAAGGCCCTGACTAGTGCGCCCATACTTAGCTACCCTCTTGGCAACGGAAACTTTATATTGGATACCGACGCTAGCAATGTTGCGTTAGGCGCTGTTCTGTCTCAAATCTAGAATAGTCCATAGATCGTTAGGCGCATAGAGAAGGTTTTCGAATGTTCTCGTATGTACTAGTCCATTCTAGTGGGTCTCGATTCTTCTCGAACGAATGAATCATTGCGGTGTCTATGCGATGTTAAGGTCATCCGAGGGCGGGCCATATTGTGAGGTTAGGTCGAGTCCACACCGGCTCGCAACAATATATATTTTTTTTAATTTAAATTTCAAAATGTACCTTTATCATATTGATCCATCTTCTTTTGTTACTTCCTGGTCAACAGTATTTTGAAATCGTCGAACTATACGTTTTTGATATTTAAAAGACAAATAATTAAACTGTATCGTACTCAAAATGCAATTCTGTATTATCCAAAAGTTATTTTGCCGATTCCGTTCAATTGTTAATTTTATTTTGAAAACCGGGAAGAAAATAAGGCACAATCATGTAAGTACTTCTTTTGTTTGGTGAACATTATAGTTTTATGAAAAAATAGTAATTTTTACATTGAATAACATGCTCGATTTTACTAAAATAACAAAAAGTCAAAACTTAACAAACTATATTTAAAATAAATTTACATATTTTGCTAAAATTTTTCGATGGATAATTTGTTCTACCATCGGTACCAATCACTTACTTTATTTTATTATTTTAGTTCAAAAACTTTGAAGGAACCTATTCATAAGAAGGATTTTAATTTAAAATCGAACAACCTGCATCTATATTAAGTTTTAATAATATTTAGTTCTGAAAGTTAGTTCTTTCTTTAAATACGATTATAATAAGTAAGGGTAAAAGTAAGTAAGGATAAAAGATAGATTAGTTAATTCAAAAAGATTATTTACGCAAATAAGAAAATAGTAAGATTTCAGGACTTTAGCATTAACAATGGCAACGCTGCCCGTGTTCCGAAAATCTTGCGAAAATCCGTTGAGATGACAGTTGGCCGTTTTACCTCCCACTCCAAATTTTTAGGCGGGCGTTTTGTCGCTTCTCTACGGTTGTTCTTCTCTGGTTAAACACATGTAGGTGGCGCCCCCACAAGTAGGAGTCATATTTACATCAAAATCAAATTTCTTATGTCAAAAAACACCCAGACGACACTAATTCTCATCCAAGTATTGAAGTTACTTCAGAAATTATTTGGAAACTTCTACACCCTGTATCTCCGATACTAAGCATTTTAGGACATACATTTATACGAACTTTTTTACTTATTTTTACCAAAATATGCTGCGGAAGTTTCCGGACCACCCT